AGAGAGAAACTAAAACATGAAATATAACTAAATAAAATAAAAGGAAAATAGATTTGCAAAATCCGAACGGGAGTGCAAGTTTGCTTGCAATAGATCAGAGGCCGAAACTAAAGCCGAGAGACAATTTATGGTCATGTCAGTCCATTGTAGGAACTGGCTAATACTAATACCAAGACAATTTAAGGTCGTGCCGGACCAATATAGAAACTGGCTGGAATTAACGCCGAGAGACAGTTTATGGTCAAGTCGGACCATTGTAGAAACTAGCTGAAACTAATGCCCGGAACAAAACACCACCCCATCATCAACACGACACTTAATTGATAAATGGCAAATTGTACCAATCATCACTCTAATTTGCATCTTACGTTAATTTGGTCCATTTAACTCTAATTGTATCAACTAATCTTTCACATTGTGTCAATATGGACAAATTCATAACAATTGTTAAGAAATTGAACATTAATCAACCAAGTGTTAACTTGGAAAGTTGTAAGCCCATAGGGCATTTGCTTTTGTTGTTAACATGTAATACTTTTGTAATGAAACTCTGATAAATAAAAGAATGTGGTTATTTCATATGTCAATGGATGTCTTATTTGATGGGTTTAATGTTGTTATTTTGAGGGCGTTACATACAGTGTCTTCACCAACGGTCTGACACGACCATACAGTGTCTCCTATTCTATTTTATTTGTCAGTTTATTTACACGTTTTGTTACTCTCTTCAAACTCAAGTTGGTTGGTTCCTCTCCTCCTTGTGTTTGAGGGGGGCTGTTAGTAATATAATATAGTGCATATAATATAGTGCAACTTTCGGCTAATATAATACGTAATACAGTGCATTGCTTTTGGATTGTTTTCGGCTCTTTTCATCATGAGCCATCATTGTCCATTGTCTGTAAGGACTGTATCTTCTCCTATATAAGGAGCCCCTCACCATTTGTAATATATAACATTCAATACATCAATATATACATAATTTATTCTCTCTCTTTCTCTATCAATTTATCTTACAGTCTTCAAGTGTTCGGCATCCCCTACGGCCGTACAAAGCTTTAATATATGTGTCATAGCTATGCTTTCCCAACCAATTTTTAACACTTACGTTCATCGCTGTGAAGACTCTCTCTCTTAAGATTTCGCCCACTGATATGGGGCTAGTCTTGCATAGTTGAATCTCTAGAGCTTTATCAACGCGTAACATTTTCAGGATTTTACGGTAGGGCAGAGGTTTTTCTTTTAATCTCATGGAAAAGTTTAGCAAGCTATACTGTTTCATCGAATATGACCACCTGTGTTTTGTTTTGATTGATGACTCGCAAGATGGTAAAATACACTTGATGGCTCGTGAGATGATGGTTTTCTCATGCTTAACTAACCAATGAGTTGTTTGGTCAGAGACAAGTAGTTGCTTGAATGCCCATAACTCTACAAGAAGGGCGACCGACAACAATATCAGAGTTATGGTAAAGTCGATTTTGGAGTGGCGGCGATGGTGCTGTTCATGAAATTTCTCTCTGACCAGTTTGATCTCACTCAAAGATACCATCATCAATACAAGAAAGGTTAGAATGATTCCAACAATTCTTAGGGAGATCCCCAAATTAGAGTAGATAACCTTGGCCTTTGTGAACCGCAAATCATATATAATCCCGAGTTCAATCTCAATTATCTTGAATGCCTTGTCGGCTGATATCTTGTCAAAGATTGACCGACTTGTATGCCCATCTCGGATGCCAATTATGAGATCTGCGAAGAGACGCTTGACCATGTCAAGGAATCCGAAGGCCGTAAGGAGTTCATTTTCAACATTAGAAATAGACTGATCAACCTCAAGCACCTGATGTGTTGTGACATGGTACCCCTCTAGCTCTTTAAGTTTGCATTCCTTCATTATTTTGGATTCATTGGTAGTGATATCCTGAATGGAGTCTCTAAAATTGTTATCGATTGACAAGTAGAGGACACAAACTCTTTCACAGTACTTGAATAGCCCCACAACAAACATGAGAATGAAGAGTATGGAAAGAAGAGAGCCTGTCCAGGCCATGAGAAAGATGTACACTGTGGTCATAGATTGAATAACTACTTGAAACGAGTGCCTTCTCCACAATTCATTGTCTTCCAAGGAGTAAGCAGTAATGGCATCTGTACCACCCAAGTGAACTACCATTAAGGGCGCCCAGAATGCTGTTATCTCCATATTTGGATCAATAAAACCATCCACGTTGACTTTTCCAAGATGGTTGGACAGTATGCCAGCTGCCATTGTTGTTACAGAGTCGGCGAGTAAGTAAGCCGACCAAACAACAACTCTGACCTGAATCCCTGCTGTATGCTTTCGACGATTGCCCAGAATGACGAGAAGGACTTGGGTAGTGAGGCTGATTAAAACCATTCCTCGCACCTCCCATTCGTTCCAAAATTTCTTCCATCTTGGAGGAAAGAACTGCGTCATCACTCTCTTTCTTATTATAATTGCACTGCCAAATACTGATCCAAAAAAATAAAAATAAAAAAATAATTCATATTGATAAATGGAAGAAAGAATTATTAGAAAGAATATACACTTTCAACAAAACACCACCCCATCATCAACACGACACTTAATTGATAAATGGCAAATTGTACCAATCATCACTCTAATTTGCGTCTTACGTTAATTTGGTCCATTTAACTCTAATTGTATCAACTAATCTTTCACATTGTGTCAATATGGACAAATTCATAACAATTGTTAAGAAATTGAACATTAATCAAGGCAAAACAATCAATTCAAAAGGGAATGTCTTATTTCAAATTGGACAGTAACCCTCAATCATTTATGGAGAGTGAATTCACTATTTTGCTCATTGATTTTAATTCAAAATTTTAAAAAATACATTATTAACTGAACTAAATTGATACGATGTGAAAAAATTTAAGGATAAAATTGATGCAAGTAAAACTACAAGAGTCAAATTGATAGAAGAAGTAAACTACAAAGACTCTAGTACAATATGCCTTTGTATAAATGTCAATACCACATCATTCTAGTTTCACTTTCTGCATGCTCGATTCAATCAAAGTTTTGATTCTTGTGATGCAGATAAACCAATGTTGTTAGGGTTTTGATTGGTGATCCCAATCCACCGATCAATTTTGTTAGGGTTTTGATTGGCTATCTCAATTGACCTACTCCGGAAATCGCTACTCGCTTTCACATCCAAGTTGTTGTCCGCGGTTGCGATCCCTCATTATTTCCCTTATAGAGAACTAAGAAGGCCTAGGGTTAGGGTTCTAACAACGGTGGTAAAGGTTTCCACCATTCTTCCTATCTCTCTAAGTTTTTTATTTTCTTAGTTGCATTGCAGCTTTTATATAAATTGCTTTTCAGCTTTGCCCTTAAATCTTACTTCGTGAATATTTTACCTTTTAATTTTCCCTAATACCTTAGTTGTATGATATGCTAACTTTTAAAAATATTGGAATGTGCATACTCTTGCATGATAGTCTTGCATAGAAACTTTTACATAAGAAAATATACATATATATGTTGCATACTTACAAAAGATGAGTTATCAAACCATACTTCGAATCAAGGCCTGCTTTGGGCACAAGTAGGAGAAGCTGTCGCTTTGGCTCCCAAAAAATTGATTAAACAAAAAGCCCCAAAATTTTGTTAATTATTATATTAGCCTAAAAAAAATCTCACTAGAATTTAAAGGGCCTCAACAAAATTCAGTTATGATTTAAAACTAATAGATAGTTGATATGATAAATTATTTAAAACTAATAGTTTTTTTTTTTATTAGAAGAAACCAAAAAATTTATTGATGTGGTGAATTGTTTAAAATTATTGAATGGTTATTTTCCAAATGTATGACTTTTTATTCAATATTTCACAGATTAGAAAATGTACAGGTAGAAGGCAATAAGGTGCTATGTAAGGCTATGGGAGTTTCTTGCTCTATTTGAGTTGGAATCTCTCCAACTCGTTTTGGGGGTTTGGAGATGCACATGATTGGTCTGATTTTGGGTGTCAACATAATTGGGATGCTTAGTTTTAACAATGATGCAACTTTTTCCCTGTTAGAATAGTAGAGAGAGAGAGAGAGAGAGAGAGAGAGAGAAAGTAAATAATATGTATTGTATTGAATAATTGTATTGAATGTTGTCCTATACAATAGAAGGCCTGTATATATAGGCTGAGAAAGAGCATCCCACTAGAAATCTAACTATGAGAAAAAGTATCCTATAAGACCTAACTATGGCAATACTATGGCAATACATAATATATCTAGAAAATTAATACCTAATATATGTAGGAATATATACCATATATACATTAACATTCCCCCTCAAACTCAAGAAGGATAATCATCATGAGTTTGGAGAGAGAAACTAAAACATGAAATATAACTAAATAAAATAAAAGGAAAATAGATTTGCGAAATCCGAACGGGAGTGCAAGGTTGCTTGCAATAGATCAGAGGCCGAAACTAAAGCCGAGAGACAATTTATGGTCATGTCAGTCCATTGTAGGAACTGGCTAATACTAATACCAAGACAATTTAAGGTCGTGCCGGACCAATATAAAAACTGGCTGGAATTAACGCCGAGAGACAGTTTATGGTCATGTCGGACCATTGTAGAAACTAGCTGAAACTAATGCCCGGACAGTTTAAAGGGGTCATGCCGGGTCGATGTAGGAGCTAACCAAAATCAATGTCAGGACAGTTTACGAGGTCATGCCGAACCGTTGTAGAGATTGGCTAGTCGGAATCAATGTCGGGACAGTTTAAAGGGTCATGCTAGACCATTGTAGGAGCTAACCGAAATTAATGTCAGGACAGTTTAAAGGGGTCATGTCGGACCGATGTAAGAGCTAACTGGAATCATTGTCGGGAAAGTTTAAAGGAGTCATGCCGGACCGATGTAGAGAACTAGATGTTGAACCAACAACCGTGGAACACACATAACTTATGATATGGTGCTGAACGATGACAGCAACAGAAGACTGAGTGCGCCAGGAGGCGGCTTGGATGGTGCGCCAGGGGCAAGTTTGGTGGTGCGCCAAGAGAGGGCAGCTTCGATTGTGCGCCAGAAGAAGCGGCTTAGATTGTGCGCCAAAGAGGGGCGGCTTGGGTTGTGTGCCAGAGAGTGCGGCTTGGATTGTGCGCCAAAGGAGGCGGCTTGGATGGTGCGCCAAACGACGACTTGGGTGGTGCGCCACAAGGGGTGGCTTAAGTTGTGCGCCATAGGAGACGGCTTAGGTGGTTTGCATGGTGTATAACCATGTTCACCATGATATAGGTATAATACCCCCCTCTCAAACTCAAATAAGTTTGAAGATAGAAACCAATTTAAGGTTGAAGCAGACAGAAAGATAGAGTAGAGAAAAAAAAAATGTATTACGAGTAAAAAAAAATAAAAAAATGATAGAGATATTTGGGATAGGAATAAACCAACGAACAAAGAAAGAGATCTCCACGAAACGATACTGACAAGAAAAGATGATAGCAGAATAGGTTAAGGTCCGGCGGACGGCCAAGGCAAGGCCGCCGCCCGCCGGTAAGGCGAAAAACACCAAGAGCTTAACCTATAACTCTGATACCATGTTAGAATAGTAGAGAGAGAGAGTAAATAATATGTATTGTATTGAATGATGTCCTATACAATAGAAGGCATGTATATATAGGCTGAGAAAGAGTATCCTACTAGAAATCTACCTATGAGAAAAAGTATCCTATAAGAGAGCTAACTATGGCAATACCTAATATATCTAGGAAATCAATACCTAATATATGTAGGAATATATAACATATATACATTAACATTTCCTAAGCCATGTTGTATCCTACTTTACTTTAATAAAATTTTATTTGTTTGTTGCTCAAAAAAAAAAAAATATATATATATATATATATATAATATGATTGATTATATTACAATTACTCTTTTCAAATTAAAGTTAATTAAATCTTACATTTACTCAACTATGTGAAATGAAAGATTAAATGGATTAGCAATTTTATCCATCGAAAATGACTTAGCTTATAAGTTGGTTTATGCGAACTAGATTAATAATTTTATAGCTAAATATGTCAGAAGAATGATATTTGAGTGATGTTTGTTACAATTTATTTATTTTTTATTTGATACTTTAGTTTAGATTATTTTTAACAGTTAAGTAAATTTTAATAGATATATATTGAAAGTAACTTTTTTACGAAATACCCAAAAAAAAAATAAAAATTAGACACATAATTATTTTTTAAAAAATATATATATGAAAAGTTCTGCTTTGAAAATTTATTTTGAACTCCGAAAAAGTCAACGTCGACGCTGCTTTGAGTATAATGTCATTCCCATGAAGTTTGCAATGAATAATGTATGAAATGGAAAATGCTATACAAACAAAAATAATTTTACAAACTTTTCTTATAAACTGATGTGGTATGGAGTGATACAACTTTAGAATGTAAAATGAGGCCCAACTTATTAATATTCTAAGTGACACATCAGTTTGTAAGGAAAATTTGTTTGGAAAATTTGTTTGTATAGCACTACTCATATGAAATTAGCAATGAATCAGATATATTCACTGAACCCTGTTATTTTTATATTTGTGTCATAATTGGCCAATTTATTTTGAATGCTAAAATGATTCGAGTGTATTAGTTTTATTGGGAATTGTGTAATTTGAATTTTGATTTTTCTAGTTGAATAAATCGTTCATATTTTTTCATTTGGTGATATGATTTGGTTTTATGGAAATTTTTTGGAATTTTTCTTCTTTTTTTGGTGCAAAGGAATTCTCACAGAAAGTTGTGGGAAGATTGTTTTTAGCAGAATTTAAATAAAAAAAGGCATTATACGTCATCCGCTTGTGGCAAAACATCGCTAAAAATATTAGCACAATGTTTCTAAATGTCGCTAACGTATAGCGACAGTCACGTTATCAGCGCTTTCTATAAACGCCACTAAAATGTTTTACCAGCGTTTTTGATAGGTTTAGCGACGTTTCTAAAATGCTGGTAAAAATCAATTTTATCAGTGAATATAACTATATTTCATTCATATTTTATCTACTGTTTTCTTTTTTCTCTTTCTAAATTCATGAACCAAATATAGTCTAAATATAATTCACTTATCATTGAAAAACAATGATAATAATAATAATCATAATTACTTAAATTACAGAAGTACCTGCATGCATCATCATAATTGGCAATTTTTGCATCCAGAAGAGCTGAAATGCAACCTTTTTTTTTCCCAAGTGGATACTTTCTGATTTATGTAGAGTTTCTTTTATGATCACGTGCGTGCGTGTATCATCTTCTGACTTGGATCAAAGCTCAAGCCTCCTAGTCGCAAAAAATATCACAAAATACACATATTAATTTCCCTTCTTTTCTATTATTATAGAACACATAAGCAGAATACAAAATGTAGACACAGAATTCACTTGGACCTATTAACAAATATTGTACAGTGAGTCTACAAATTCAGAAAATAAAACCAGAAATTTACACAGAATTTCAAATCAAAGGCCATTGATGTAAAATTCTAATCTTTCCCCTTTATTTTTGGGACAGGGACAATAGACTTTTCCAATGTCACAACCCCTAAGGTATTATTAACTCAAGTTCGACTCTTGTCCATACCCCCATTTTCCGGGATCAAGAGATTAGGAATGGCACTTAATCTTTGAATTTTACACTCATGGACTGGACCAAAAGGACATTGCCTAAGACATGGTTCTGATAATATATATATATAGATATATAATCATGGGGGTCTATATGAATTCCGTGTCCATTTCTGTCTCCTTTATCATTTTTCTTTTGAAGTAAATCTAAGCAAGAAACATCCAACTATTGGAGAAGCAGAACTCTAAATCTACACCTGTAACAGTGTTCTTGGGTGTTGTCCATTGCAAATCAAAAGTAGATAATCTAAAAAGTCAAAATTATCTATCATTCAGCTTTTAGAAATAAGTTTTTCCAGCTTATTTAAATTATTTATGCTTAATAAATTTGCAAAACGTACACCAAACAAACTAACACAGATTGTTAAAAAAATAAAATAAAATAAAAAAAGACTATTAACAATTCAAATAAACTACACCAAATAATCCCATTATGTAAAACTTACATCAAGTTTCCGGCTTGGGTTGGAGAAGTTTGCATGAAATACTCTCATAAGTTGAAGTAGATGATGACATCGAGGTATGTTTTCATGTCTCATCCTTGTGCTTGTGTTTGAAAAGAGAGAGCGTGTGTCATGTAATAGTTATCTTCTACCATACAAATAGAGAGATGAGATCGGAAAAGAATATGGAAGACTTTCTGCACTACGTTTAGCTCTATTTGGAATAATTATTATAACAATGCTACAAACTTAAAAATATTACTTAAAAAAATACATCCATGTATTATAATTATTTTAAATCTGACTCATATCCCATTAATTTTAAATTCACATCATATAATTTATTTCGGAATAAAAATCAAAATAAATTTTTATGGTTCATAGCATATACTATGGTGGCGTTTCACAAATTTTTTTTTTTTTAAGAGTACTAATTACAAATACGATAATAGGAGAAGTATTATATCAGGTAGGCCACTACTCTAACAATAGCTAAAAAATCAACAATCACCGCTAGCTACGTACAACCCTCATTATAGAGGAGAAATATAATGGCCACAAATATCTAACTTATCTCTATAGAATTTGAAGCTGGAACCTTGTACCACCAAGTGGTACTATACAACTACTGGAACAAAGGCACTAGTTAACTTTTTGTTTTCTAAAAATTGAAAAAGTTGTTGTATTTAATAATTGTTATTTTACTTTTTATTTATTTAATTTTATTTTTTGTGTGCCTTTTCAATCTTACATTTTAGTGAGAAATTATCATATATATGTATTTATATATTATAGTATTATGGAGCACGTGTGGGGATATAGTGAAATTTCTAAAAATATTGAGAATAAAATTATCTTTTAACAAATTTGCTAAAAAAATTATTTTATTTTTTATAAAAAAAGTCATCTCAAACAAACTTACTTCCTTTTATTTTTACCTAAACAAGGCTTAAATAATTATGAACTATCATGTAGTATTTAAGTAGTGTTTTCAATCAATAACATAATGAAATTTTTTACAAATAAAATAAATTTATTCATTTATTTTTATTAAGTAGTTGAGAAACAATTAGTGACTGTATTTTAATATTCTTCATTTATAAAGAACACTACAATCCAGATTATTCTGTCCACTGAAAATATTTTCTTTTAAAAAATTATCTACCCTTTTGTCTTATTTTACTCACAATTGTAAATTTTAGGAGAAATTTCAATTCAAGTTAAATTCTAAAAAATAATTACAGATAAGTGGTGAACTTTACAAATATTAATTATTAAAATCATAATATTTACCATGAAATTGTCATAATTTTGTAGAAGTACCACTGTGTGATAATTTTTCCTAAATTTTATCCATAATTTATATTTTGGGGTATTTTTTTTAAGGTCCCTGATATTATGATTTTATAGTATAAAGGACATCAAATATTTTCATGATGTCCAAGGTCCCTCAACATCAATCTAGAGAAATTTCAGTCCCAGAGAAAATTGGTCCAGAGAAATTCTGAGAAGAATTTCTCTGGACCAACCCAGAGAAAATTTAGTTCAAAAACCAGAGAATTTCTCTGGTTTCAACCCAGAGAAAATTCAGTTGAAAAACCAGAGAATTTCTCTGGTTTCAACTTCAAATGAAACAAAATACTTAATTGATCCCAATTACTTAACTGAAACAAAATACTCATAACCTACCAGTTTTCAATATAGAACAAATGGCATATTCATTCGATATATAAGATCATTCAATGCAGTTTACAGGTTAACAAAGAAAAATAATAATAAAAAAGAAATGACTGACAGATTCATATCAAATCTCCTAATCATTAGTTACCACTTCCATAATTACAAAGTAGCAAGTTTCTTTGCAGGATTATGTGCACATTGTACGATTGTCAAAAGGGCAAGCTCAAATTCCCTTGAAGTTTCATTCGTTACTGTTTATAATTATCTCAATTTGTTAAAAATCATAACAAGAATTTCCGATAAAAAGAGACGATGATGACATTAAGAACAAATTACCTTTTTCAGTGAGTTCCCATACATGTTTTGGTAAGAAGAATCTATAGCAGCCAAATGTGCCCTGCTTATTACAATATATGATTTCTATAAGCTAAGTACAAGAGTCATTATGTTTGTAGGCTTTGTATGGTTCTAAGGTGTATACAATGCTAGATATTCTGGTTCAAACCAGAGAAATTCACCATTACAGTGGGCCAGAGAAATTCTCTCGAAATTTCTCTGGACATCCCGCTCTCCAGAGAAATTTTTTCCAAATTTCCCTAGACTTTCCATTCTCCAAATTTGATACAAACTGGTTAATTAAATAATCTCTTCCCACCAGATTTGACTTCATCTACATGGCCACTCTTACCTTGATAAGGTCGCAAAGTTCTTCAAGATTGGGCTGTACCTCATTGAAAATAGGCACAGTACCGACTTCCCTCTATGTATCATGCACACACGCGCACACATAGTTTTGCATAGTTAGGAGATGACGAGAATGTCCACCAAGTCCCAACTCAGAGGAACTGCTTTGTCTATTAGGAACTTTATCACCCACATAATTATTGCAAATTTGCAAGGTGAGAAGCTACTAAACAGAGAAATTTGAATTTTCTCTAGAACTATAAAACTCTGATTTGATCAATTTATCTTTGGTTCTACTGCTGCTGATTCAATCACAATTTCCTGCACAAACAAATTAATAGTTTTTCAATCACAATTCAATCACAATTTCATGGACTCCAGAGAAAATTCAAATTTCTCTGCCGTGGGTTTGATCCTCCACCATTGTTGCTACTGTTGTAAGTGGTTGTACTGATGTTTTAAATTTCCATTTACTCTTGCCATTTCACACCAATCAACAGAGAAATTCTGCTCTGAATTTATCTCCAGAGAAATTTTGAATTTCTCTGGAACTGATATTGATGAACAAAAGACCAGGAAAAAAAAGAGATGAGAGAGGCTAGCTATGAAAAAAAGTAATTTTTTTGTTTCAGATTCTGGTGATGGAGTATAATGACTATGTTGTTGCTTATGTGACCGTGACAAATCAGCAACCTCACTGCCAGACTCCAATGGTCTAAGATTGGGTTCTGGTGAAGGTGTTTCGAATGGGAACGACCTTGACATTGTCTGCCTTGACATCGGGCCACAGAGGCTGAGTAAGACGACAGAGGACAAGGTGGTCCGTGGCGGAACCAAGCATGGTCGATCCGGTTACGAGGCCGTAGAGACGCCCCGTTCCAAGCCCTAGCCTCCGGTGCTGGACTGTGACAACAGCGAGTATTCCGACACAATCGATCACCTTCGACTTTCTCTCTACTCAAATCAAGCTTACTCACCGCCTCTATATGTATGTATGTACATGTCTGTGTGTGTGCGTGAGAGTAGACAAAATGAAGGGGGCTGAATTTCTCTATGATAGATGGGAGGGACTTTAGACATTAAAAAATAATTTTGTGGATCTCTTCCATTATGAAAAGTGGGAGAGGGACCCTACACCAATTTTTCCTTATATTTATGTATTAATGTAAAATGATATTTAATGTACAAGGCTTGTGCAGTTTTAAAGTACTAGTGTAAATATCTTAATTTTTTATCTTTAAAAATTAAAAAATACAAGTAGCACAAAATTATTGACTCATACAAATCTAATTTGAAATCTTTTTTTTAAAAAAAAGAGAGAGTTCAAAATAGAATATTTACCACGTACTAAGTCAGAACTAATTTGAAATTTAAAACTTGTTAACAGTATAAAGGCCAAAATGGAATTACAATTCGGTTGGGAAATGACTTTTTTTGTGACTTTTATGAATTGGATGGAATCCTCCTTTCTAATATAGTAATTGTACAGGTACGAAATATTCGTCACACACGTACTCTCCATGATCAAGCTTGTGTCTCCCCGAATGGCATAGTGTAGCCTACAAAACAACTCAGGTGAGATACCTAGTGGGTGTATGCCAAAAAAACCCCTCTGATACTTGTTTATAATTATCTCAATTTGTTAAAAATCATAACAAGAATTTACGATATTGTAGCTTTTAAGATCAATATAGGAAAAGCTCTCCAGAAATTCAGTAAGTAAAATTGCATTACCTCTATAGGGTTTACTTATGAGCTTTTATACATTCCGTAAGGTGACTCCTAATAGGACTCTAATTCCTCTTCGTAGAGTTCTATCAAGAATTCTTCTGTTAAAGTATAATGTCAATCCTATAACACCCTTATCTCCAAAGTTCTAGTGAAATAACATAACTCTTAGCCAGGCAATTAGGCTAAGAACATCATTCCAGTTACCAATGACCGAGCAACCATATTGAATGAATTCGCTTTCCTTTAAGACCGTCGAGAAACATGTTAATGATGCCGTGCTACACTTAGACACAAGGCCCAGCTCGGTTGTTCGGCTCAATCATGTAACTAACTCCGCCTTGCCATAACTCACCAACCGTTGTCCGGTCCTCCAAAGGTAGCACGGTCTCAAAACCATTAGAACGACACGGAGAGCAACACAAAGTCAATCTAGCTCGGCCCAAACACAGTGTCTATATTAGCGTAGCTCAACCCATTTCCATGCAACCTTAGCCCAATTCGTTGCACGGCCCAAATGCAAAACTCACGCAAACGTAGCTCGGCCCATTTGCACGGTGCAAATTACCCTATCAGTAATGCTACACGGGTTAGGTGATTTTGCTATGCTTTAAGCACAACAACAACTGCTGCAAGCTAATGCGGCATCGTTGTACCCTTTTTTTTGTGTGTGTGTTTTGTCACGTTGTTTTCTCTAAGTTTCTCATGGCAAATAGTTTAAATAATGTTTCACTTAATTTTTTATTACAGGATATGATAAATTCAACATTGTTCTTTCGATTGTCACAACATTATTAATAACATATATAAATGGTGAACCCCGTTAAATTAATATAATAATATATAAATGACATGATCTATTAAATTAATACAACAATCACTTTATTAAAAAAAAATCAAAAATTAGACTTAAGGGGAGGTCATGGATTCAACTCTTCCTAAGAAGAGTTAAATTAGGAGGTAAATACTTGATACTTTATACACACACACACACACACACAAACTTCGGATGACTTACTTGTAAGTCTTTTGTGATTCATTCTATAATTATTTTATGTGCAAATACATATGGGTAAATTATAGTAAACTCTCTTAAACTAAGACAC